GAGTGGCGGTGGTGGCAGCCACCGGCTAGCTGGGGAATGAGCCACGCTCAGAAAAACAGGCCGAAGCTACCTCCTTGGCAACATAGGGCTGCCTGGAGTCACCTAGGGCTAGGCCCTTCAGAAACGGGCGCTTGGAGCTTGCCCACCTTCACCTTCCAACCGCGGGCATATCCCTCATGTAGAGGGGAGAAGCTGGCTCGGGGTCAAAAAGCCACAGGACGCCAAAGGTTCAACTGATCCCCGAGCTTCCGCAACCTTCTCCGAACCGCCGGAGTGCCCCGGAGCGAAGCCGAGAGCGACGCGTGAGCGTGGCACCGGATGGGTTCTCCTCGGCGAGGCCGTGCGGAGCGGAGACCCTCAGTTTGGGCCAGGAAGGGAACGGGAGGACAGGAGGCAAAGCAAGGGCTTGGGGCGGATCCGGAAACTGCTGGGGACGGGGGTTTTGGGGACCCTGACGGGGCGAGGCGTGGGCAGACTCACCTCCTGGCATAGTCATACAACGCCCGCTTCCGCTCCTGCAAGGACAGATGCCGCTCCACGGGGGACTTTGCGAACTGCTTTGTAGCTGGCTGGAAGGGAAAGCACACGAGCCATCAGGAGACCTCAGCGGCCCTGCGAGGACCCAGCGTGCCAGGTGGGTCTCCAGCTTAAAATGCTCCGTTCCCTGGACAAGCCGGCTACTCCGAATGCCGGCACCGTGGTCTGGCCACGAGCTGTCAGATCGGAGGGGACAGTGGCAATCACCCCAAGTACCTTGGAAGAAGGCGCAGCTACGGAGCCCTGGGCGCCAAAAGCGGCGGCAGCCTGGGAGGTAGACGGGGCAGGCGGGTCAGTACCAGCCTCCTTACTTCCCGGGAAGAAGGGTACTCTCCCCTCCAGCAAGTTGGCAATGGTGGTATCCACACAGTTGGTCTGGGCTGTGGGGACAAAGAGGGTCTCTGTCAGAGAGGGAGGGGCTGCATCCGGACACCCGCCGCCACCGTGCTCTGCGGCGCAGCAGGGACGCCTTTCTGCTTTCAGGTGTCACGGAGCCTTGGCACGGAAGGTGACCCGCGTCCCTCCTGCTCCCCAGGCATCGCTTACCCAGGTCTATCCTGATGACCTCCAGAGGCACGTGGGGCAGCACCTCCCGGACCTGCTGAGCCATCGTTGCGATCCGCACATCCTCGGGAGCGACACCGGTCAGGCGGGAAGGCATCCTGGGCCGGGCTGCCGGGGGCTGGCTTGGGGCTGCAGGAGAAACAACAGTGAGCACGAGAGGGTGGCCTAAAGGGTGCACGGCCTCCGAGTTGCCACAGCTCCGCTTTCTCCAGCGGGGACCGGGGTGATTACGCCCGACTTGGGGCACATAACCGCGACGTCTGTGCTCGGGAGCGGCGGTCCTCTTCCTGTCAGCGGGCTACAGCCCCCGGCCTAAAGCACACAGGCAGCCCCGCTCCCCAGGAGGACGCCAAACGCCTCTCCCTCCACGCATGAACCGCCAAGAGCGACCGAGCCTCCCCGACGGCAAAGCCAAAGCGGCAGCTCCGTAGTCCCCGACGCTGCCCAGGACACCCACCTGGAGCAAAGGGGAGGAGCGACGTGTGCCTCAGCCTCTTCATGTGCTCCGATTTATCGGCTGCAGTGAGCCGTGTGGATACCACACCCAGCTCCACGGCCAAGAGCTGCAGAAACGCAAAGAGTCACATGTACACGACACACAGCACGTCTCACCCCCGGCGTTCCCAACTCGCTGGGATTGTATTGGATGTACAGGCCTGCGTGGAGCCACGGCGAGGGCAAGAGGGGACTGATTTCTCCAGGGCCTCGGTGGCGTTGCACGGAGCACACGAAGGACCAGGAGTAGGCAATATCATCCTGCCAAAACCAGGCTGACAGGGAGATACAAGATCTTTGGTACGGGAGCTGGAAGTACCAGCACATAAGGGGAAAGGTGGAGGAGCAACCGCTTTACTTGATGTGTGGTGTTAGGAACGGGGAGCGAAAGGTTTGAACTAGATGGGGAGAACCACCACAACTGGCCAAAGGATAAATAGGGGTCAGCAAACAGGCCATGAAAAAAATGAATAATGATAAGGGGCGATAAATTTGGGGCAGAGTTCCCATCATACAGACACACCCATCCGGGATCGCCCTTTGTGACTCCGCTTGCAGCCCGCTCTCCTCCGCGACCGTCCCAAATGGTAGCGGTCCTACACATCCCCCCACCCACCCCCCATCATCCTCCTACCTCCTGAACTCGGAGCGCAAAATCCTCGCTCGGTTCTTCAGCTCGTCTGGGGACAGGTGGCATCCACCTGAATGGGGACAACGGCACTGGGCTGACCGTTTCGGGGGCCGCGGGGAGCAAGCACCCCCGGCCAGGATGGCCTCAGCTCTGCCCGCTCGCCCCAGACCGCACCCCACCAGACCAGCGCCGAACCTCCACATCAGCTTGCAAAATTAAGGGCAAGGCATGGCTCAGGAGGCAGAAGGGCTCCCGGAAATCGGTTAGGACTCAAGCGTAGCATGCACAGCATCTCCTAACGGAGTTCCCGGAGACGGAAGCCACGTACGGCTGGGAAAGCCAGGGCACAGACCTCTTCTTTGCTGAAACACCCCAACCCCTGACTTCAACTCCGAGCCCTTTCCGCTGCCTGGGAACCCTTATCACGCCAACGCTGCTCAGCCAGGCTGGGCTCACCTGGGCCCTAGCAGGTGTCTGAATCTCCGCTGCGATTCCCAAGGGGGCTGCAGGGAAGAGGCAGACTCTGGGGGACTGAGCTGCCTGCAGGGAATCACTCACGGGACCGAGCAAGCGCAGGGCAAATCACAGCAGGGCAGCTGTATTCCAAAATATTCCTGGCAAACTTGACATGCAAGCCCCGAGACTCCTCTCCTTTGCTACCTGAGGGCGGACACCAGGAGCCCTCTCCATTTCGGAAGCTGGTCCAGAAGCTGGACCTGGCACGGACCGAACGATGCTGAACAAAGCCACGCCGAGAAACCGCAAGGAGGGCGCGCAGCAGCACGGGCCGAAACGATCCCTTACTACAGCGGCAAAAACATCTGCCCCGCTCCTAAACCCTGCCCCAAACGGAAGAGAGAGAGGTAGTACCTTACTTGATATACTGTGAAGGGAACAAAGAAGGTCCAGAGCAGCTCTGTAATCCAGGAGGAGTCAGCCACACTCTGGGGAAGAGAGCACAATGAGATCGCGGCCCACGGAACACCAGCTAGCCAGGTCTCCGCCGGGAAAGCAAGCGGGCGGAACGCAGCTAAGCCACGGCAGGGAGTAACAGGCGGGCAGCGATGGAGAGGGCTGGGAAAGAGGGAATGGCGAACCCAACGGGCAGCAAGGACAAGTCATTTTGCCAAAAACAACCTTTTCCCTAAGGAGTACTGCGACGCCTGCCCGCAGAGCACTGGAGCGGGCACTCAAAGCCGTGGGCTCCGCGTCCTCCCCCACGGAACGCGGCCCTGCGCAGCTGCAGCGTGCTCGGAAGGCGGTCTGACTGTGAGCTGAATAAAGACCTCGAGGTCCCCCCAGCCTTCACTTGTAAGGAATCTGCAGTCGCATGGGCGGTATTCTAGGATTTCTGTAGGTGGTTACTTGACTCTGCAGCGACCAAACTCCCCGCACGCTACTGAGAACCCCATCTCTAGATCCACCGCTCGCCGTGCAGCTGCCTGGCATTCTTTCCCACCTGACTGTCCTCAGCCAAAGGACAGGCCTGTGCCTGGTTTGTTCCACGAGCCTGGAAAGAGGTGCTACACACGAGCCAAGCCCAGAACCCACAGTCATCAAGGGCAGCATAAAACAACCTCATCTCCAGAATCAACAGACCCAAGAAACCTACAGTCCAATGCCTTATGGTGATCCCGATAGCCAACTTCAGTTACGCTGTCCTGCGCCACCGAATGCCTTCCTTGGAGGGGTTCCAGCCCCTTGGAGCTGGAGAAAATGCTTTCCTGAACCCTAATCTGGCGGTTTGCTCAGCCCAGTGCCTGACACACCACAGAAGTGTCTAAGAAAGATTTTCATAAAGCACTGCTGGAACTGCTCAAAGCAGCGCACCTCCGGTCCTCGGAAGTGTCGGATGGTTTCTCCCTCGCATTCACGAAGGGAAGGACATGCAAACGCACAGCTTGGCACATCTCCCTGAACTTCTCCGAGGAGCCAAACCCATAAAAAGAATGAGGTATTCATTACACACAGTCCAGATGGGGACAGCTCTCCCACTTCCCTGGAGCAGTCATTCCTAAGATTAAAGTAGCCTCGTTGTTAGAAAGCCGCATCTTAACCCCAAATTTGTGCAGCACCACCAGAGAAAGAAGAATTCTCCATCCTTAAGCCTCTCGGCCGCCGTGCAAGCTGCTACCCGCCACAAGCTCCCTGCCTCTCCTCCGAGAGGCTAGGCTGAGGGCCTCGAAGCGTCGCCCTGGATTCTGCTCCGTGCTCTCGGCCTCCTTGAACTCTCTCCCGCGGCCCCACGTTCTTGGCAGCAGGGTTACCAGAGCCTCGCGTGTTTTAGCGTCTTCCATCAACTGCGTGCATCCGGCTAACCTCGCCCTGCCAGATAGTCCTCGTCACGCTCCCCACGGGCCACATCAGGCCTGCAAGCGACAGTCGTTCACCGGCAGCCACCGGCTGTTCCCTGGATCACAACCGACAACCTGGCTCCCACTGACCCGAGCTTCGCCCGCAGCGGTCTCAAAGACTCTCATTTGCAGTGCCGACAACAGTGCTAGGAACCAATTCCTAACAGATTCCAACCTTAAAAATATCTGCAGGCTGATGCTTTAGTACAGGCAGCCACGTTTGGTGACCTGCTGTTAAGGGACTTTAAATCACCGGGCCCTACTACCCTACAAAGATGGACAAGAGTCAACTGCAATGCCAGACAAACAAACAACGCGTCTTTTAATCAAGCAGATCTGGAAATCCTATCAAGAAAGAAGAAATTCAGGAAAATCTCACTGTCAATACGCTGAGCACCGCTGTGCTGCAATCTACTCAGCGGCACCAGGGGCGCCGTGAACTCTGCCCCTGTTCCCGAAGCGAGCGTCGCACCGCGCTACGTAGCTGCATCTGGGAGGGGCGAGCTCCAGAGCACACTCCAGGGAGCCTTGCCTAACCTCTGGCACACCAGCCGCTCTCCAAGGCGACCGGAGCTACTCTTTCCGAGCTCTTTAACAGAGGGAGCTCCTGAGGAAGAGATGAGACGCGGTGATGCTACCCTCACGGAAGCCAGACGGCACGCTGCCAGACAGCCGAACCGCTAAAACCTTCACCAAAACTGCCAGCGTAGGTAGGAGAGTATCGACGTGGCGGAAGCACCCTGGGAAAGGTGCCCGTAAACCAGCATCAGCACTGAGAAGCTGATCCTCGGGGTGACAGGACGCGAGGCTGGGCTGCACTACCCCAGGCTTTCAGAGCAGAAGCGGAATTAACGGCCTCGCCACGACCCTCACGCAGCGCGCACCTCCGCAGCTCCTCCTGCCCTACGTCCCTGACTCACCACAGTGATCAAAGGTCTCTGAACTTGTAGGGCAACTGGCTGAACCACATCCAAGACTGAGAACGGCCAAGAGCTGCAAAGGAAGAATTCAGCCGTGAATGACCCCAGAGCTAAACCAAAGTGACGACAGCCCCACCGCAGGAAGACCCGATCCTGGCACCTGAAGCGGAGCAAGCCGGCCCGGCCGTTGGTGGCAGCCTCCTCCGGGAACAGCAGCAGCGGTGGGTTTCCTCGGTGGGACGAATACACCTTCAGGGAATCCACCAGCTCTGCTCGGCTTCCCGTTACGCCCAGCTCCATGAATCCCCGTGACCAGCAGATGAAGCCAGGGGCACCGTTCAGCGCAGGCTGCAAGGCAAAAGAAGGGTAAGGAAGAAAAGCCGTTCTGTCCTCCCCAGGTGACGGGGGGGAGACAAAGTTCCTCCCTGCCTCTGGGGGCCGAGGGAGCCAGCTGCACGCTGGCAGCAGAGAAGACGTACTGCCGGGCTTCAGGGAGTGCTCTGACCCTGATTCCCTCGGGATTTAATTCCTAATCTTCAGGTCAGACGGCACCCTGTCCTCCCGAGAAACCAACTCCTGACCTGCCCTGGGTGACAGCTGTGTTCCCTCCAGCAGCCTGACACGGTTGGCAAAGGATACGCCACTTCCTTGCCTGGAGACCGGTAACTTGGAGCAAGCCTACTGCTTTTCAGGGCACAGGCCCAACCAAGGTGCTCCCAGGCACGCTCGGAGCCTGCCGATTCAGGAGCTCCACACGTAAGGAATTTCACAGGTGGCGGGCCCCAATGCTGCGGGAACACCCCACAGCCACCCCTGCTTCTGACACCACCCACCTGAGAGACCAGCAAGACGCTAGGGTTTGCCTACTCTCTCAATAAAATCAATACCCACTGTAACATTTCCTCTTCCTTCTCACCCCGTTTCATTTCTGAACCAGCTCTCCGTGCCCTCCTCTGGCAGAGGGCTGCTTCCAGGCCTGCCAGGCTGGCCTCCAGGTTACTCACCGTATTGCATGAGGTCAGGAGGTTGACGACGTTGTGATCGAACTGGGTCACGTGGTTGGCAATATACACCCGCACGCTGACATCACGAAGCTGGGGATCGCTTTGCCGCACAAATAAGCCCAGCACCGAGCACATCACACGTACAATAAACCTGGGAGGCGGGAAAAGTGGTTTCCTTGAGTCTTGCAGTCTGAGCCATGGCCGGCTTACGCACACAACACCCACAGAACAGAGACCCGGGGATTCCCGTGACGTGCAAAAGGACGCTGGTACAAAATGCAACAATATGCCACGTGCCCGGGACAGAAACTTTTGGGAGGCTGCAGTTGGGGCTCAAAGCTGCCTGCAGAGCTGTAGCTGCCGCAGGAAGCGTGGGGCAGCAAGCCACACACGGAATTTCTTAGCAGGCCACCCAGCTGATCCAAGTGTTGCAGATCAGCCCTTGAGTGCCCCAGGGGCAATGGCCGGCTGCGGTCCTGGCAGACGGGGCCCCTTCGTGAGTGCTGGGGACAAAGAGTCCCGAAAGCACAGCTCCCCATAAACCTCTGTGTGAGCCAAGACTCCATGCCCACAGGCCCCACGTGGGTGAGGGCAGCCGTTCTGCCCCACAGAATTGCCTGCGCCCCGCATCCCCACCCTGGGCAACAGCTAGAGCTCTGCCCCTGGGGAGCGCCGGGCTCACGCACCGTCGCAGCACGCTGTCGGGCAGGGCACAGCTGACCAGAAAGACGTGTACGCCGATGAAGAGGCGCAGGACGAGGAGGCAGAGCCCCACGGGTGCGTAGAGCAGCAGGGCCAGGAGCAGGAACCCATCAGTCGGAAACCTGAAGGGCCAAAGAGCAAACGCAGACAACCTAAACACGGCTGGGATGTATACGGGATGGCCAGATCCCCAACTACCCACGCAGGTCCTCCCTAGGAACCACCCTGTGTTCCGCCGGCGAGACACCCGGCCCACC